AGGAGGCGCTGCCTCCTGCAGCATCCCCTCTCCGCCCAGGTGAGCTCCGAGGTGCTGGTGCACCGCCGCCGCCGCCGCCCGCAGGGAGCGCCGCCCTGGGCGCCGCCGCGCCGCCCGCGCACGCCGGCTCGGGAGCCCCCGCAAAAGCCTGCCCCTCGGCGTGCAGCGGCGGTCGCCGCGCCTGCACCAGAGACCGCAGCAGCGGCAGCAACAGCTCCAGCAGCAGAGGCTGCAGCAGCAGCTCCAGCAGACGGCGCAGCAGCAGCAGCCGCAGCCGCAGCACTGGACGCAGCAGGAGATGCAGCAGCACAGGCACAAGACCTGGAAGGCCTGCAGCAGCAGCTCCGGCAGCAGCTCCAGCAGCACCAGCAGTTCGGGGCAGCAGCAACAGCTCCAGCAGCAGAGGCTGCAGCAGCACCAGGGGCAACAGCTCCAGCAGCAGAGGCTGCAACAGCAGCAGCATCGTCCAGCACGGGCTGGCGGCAGCCAGCCCAGGGTGGCCTCTTCGGCTTGGATAGGCCTGCCTCCAAGGCGCCGAGCCAGGCTGCGCCGCCGAAGAAAGTCCTGGCGGTGACAGGCAAGGCGCCGAGCGCTGCGGCGCCGCCCTGGCAGGGATGGTGGGCCGCGCCAAATTCATCAGGAGGTGACCTCCTGCAGAGCTTCCCGCCGCAGGTGCCGACTCGCGCCGCGACGGCTGCCTGGGCTGCGCAGCACCAGCAAGATCAACGGCAGCAAGATCAACAGCAGACGGCCGCGCAGCAGCTGCACGAGCATCAGCAGGCGGCATCGCAGCAGCAGCAAGCGCAACAGCAGCAGCACGCGCAGCAGCAACACGCCGCCTGGGCTGCGCAGCAGCAGCAGGCGCATCAGCAGCAGGCGGCGGAGATGCAGCAGGCGGCGGAGATGCAGCAGCAGACGCAGCAGCCTGCAGCCGCAGCAGCAGCAACAGCACCCGGCGCCGACGCGGAGCAGCAACAGCCGCAGCAGCAGCAGCCGACTGAGCAACAGCAGCACCTGGACGCGATGCAGCTCCTTCAGCAGCAGCATGACCACCTCCAGCAGCAGGCCGACCAGATCGCCATGAGCACCCAGACGCTGCGCGAAAGGTTCGGGTTCCCGCAGAGCGAGCACCTCTGAAGCGATTGGGCCTTCGAGAGGTTTTCCTTCCAGGGCGGCCCCGCGTCGGGGCGACAAAAGGTTCTCTTAGAATCGCCTCGTCGCGGGGTTGCCTTGGAATGTCGAACCCCCGAATGCTCCGCAGGCGGCGACGCGGCGCCTGGGGGCCTCGGGGGCGTGGAAGGGGAGAGGAGGAGGAGGGTGGTAAGGAGGCGCCGTTTTCCTCCACCTTCCCCTCTCTCTCTCTCTCTCTCTCTCTCTCTCTCTCTCTCTCTCTCTCTCTCTCTCTCTCTCTCTCTCTCTCTCTCTCTCTCTCTCTCTCTCCATTCCACTTGGCTTGCGCTTCCCCTTCCCCATCGCCCCTCCTCTGTTCCTGCCGCTTCTCCCTTCCGCCCCTTCTGCTGAGGAGGCGCGCGCCGCCGTGGGCGGCGTCTGCGGCGGCAACTTTCTGAGCCGCGCATTTGATGCGGCCTGAGAAATCACCGAGGACATGCGATCCGAGTGCGTTATACATATATATAACGTTGAGGTTGAACGCCGTGTGATTGCAATGCAGATTGTGTAGACTCTTGTTTTGATGAACTGTCGGGTGCATAGGTTCGCATGTGTGTTGTTATATGTTGTTTTTGGTTGTGGTATTGCTGTATGTTATGTTTTTTACAATATATATAGAGATATATCAAGCCATTTGTTGTATTAATAATACAGGAACGTTGTATTAAGGCATTACGGTTTGTAAGTTGTATATTTTTGTATTTGTATAATTTCGTATGTTGCGTTTCCTTATGCGTTTGAACTTACTCCAACATCACCGCTTTGGAAAACGTTCGGTTTGCAAGGGCGATGGGGGGAGCTTCTTCTATTTGCACTGGCGGCAATGCCTCCTGCGCTGGAGGCTTAGCCTCCAGAAGAAGAGAATATGAGATAAGGTTGAGCGCTTAAGGAAACACAAGAGGAGCTTCGCGCTGGAAGTACCAGCGAAGAAGAGGGCGCTGTCCGACGCTTGCCGCAGCCCTCAGAAGTTCGGCGCCATGGCCACCTGGCGCCGGGGCAGGGGCGAAAAGAGGAGGGACGGAGGAGCGCGGATGAGGGAGGGGGAGGGGAGAGGGGGGGGGGAGGGGGGGGCGAGCGCCTGATGAGATAGCACCGCATCTGGAGGCTCTGGCGCGCTTTCCACTGCTGGAACGCCCACTGGTCCGCCTCGCACGCGCGGCGGCCGACCTGGGAGGAAGGGGGGAAGTTGAGATTAGGGCGTAGGAGAGCAGAAGGGGGGAAGGGGAGATCGGACCGTGCAGTGCACCAGCCGCCCCCCTCCTTCTTCCACGAAAGCTCCAACGCCTGCGTCGGGCCATCGGGCATGGTGACCCAACCCTCCTGCTCCGGTTCCTCTGCGAGGGCGAGCACGATCCAGACGGTTTCCCTTCCCCCCCCCCTCCCTCGTTCCCCCCTCTTTCCGCGCTGGTGTCCTGGTGCGCCCAGTTGACTTGTGGCTGCGGGGTCCCCTGCTTCTCGTTGCGCCCCTGGAACGGCATGGCCGCGGCGTCTTGCTCCGCCTGACGGCGCGAGAACCCCGTCCAGCACGCGCTCGCCGTCGACCCCATGGCTCGAAAAGGCGCCGAGAACTGCAACGAAGATCGCCAACTCTGCTGAGGGGGCCCTCGGAGTTCGAACGGGGAGGGATGGGGGGAAGGCGGGGGGGGGGGGGGAGGATGGGGGGGGAGAAGGAGGCGACGCCTCCTGCATCGTGCGGCCGCGGAGGGCAGGCGCTGGAGGCCGCGCCTCATCTTGGCAGGAGGCCGCGCCTCCTCGTTTATGCAAGCGCCGCCGCAATGTCCGCGCCTGCCGCGGCCGTCTCCGAAGCTCGGATTTCCAATATCCGTAAACCCATGTGTTTCTGTCGCTTCCACAGAAGATTCGCGAGATGCTGTTGTTGCTTTCGCTCGTGAACTCCCTTGCCTTGAGCGCCTACTTGGCGCGCGTGGCGCCAAAGGCAAAAAGGAGACAAGCAAAGGGAAAAGCACATGGAAAACCGATGGGGCCCGCCTCCACCGAAGAGCCCGCCTCCAGCGAAGGCACCTGCTGGACACGGCGCGGCTGGGAAGCCGAAGGGCCCGCCTCCAGCGAAGAGGCCCGGGGGAGACGGCGCCGCTGGGAGCGCGGAGAGGCCGCCCCCGAAGGCCAAGAAGAGCTCGCCCCCCCCCGCCGCCAGATTCCCTGGCGAACGCGCAAACCACGTGCCCCATGAACCACCTCCGGCACAACGCGAAAGGCGGCAATGGCCGGAGCGACTACGGGAAGGAGCGCAGCATCGCCCTTGCAACTTCAAGCAACTCGGCGAGCAGAAGCGGAAGGAGTTCCACGACACGTTTGCGACCGAGAAGGAGAAGGGCGAAAAAGACGCCAAGAAGCTGAAGGGCCTGACGCATTCCTTCACAGCCGCGCATGAGTCCTCGAAAAAGGAGTCGACAAACAGCAGACAGAAATGGGTCACAGTCACGCAGCTGATGCAGGAGTTCGGGGTCAGCCTGGGGAACTTTCCCACCGCGTCGGCGGGATGCGACTGGGCTCGCAAGAAGTGGCGCAAGAACGCTGGGAAGCACAAGACGGCATGATCCCACCCGCCCCAGATGGACACGGAAGAAATCATCGATTCATTATATTGCTTACGTCTTCGACGATGCTCTGCAGACCGCAGCCGAGGAGAGGACGGGGGGGCAGTGGGCCTCATACAAAGACGATGGGAAGACAAACAAGGGCGCGCTGGAGGACACGGCCCGGGGATCCGCGTCTGCGGGGCAGGGGGGCGGCGACGTGAAGATCGAGAACCCAGAGTACCGCGACGTGACCGAAAAGAGAGAAGAGCTCAGGATGGGAACTGCAATTCTTCCTGCAACTTCCACACATTGCCCCAGGCTCCTCCGCCGCCCCCCCACGCCCCCCCCAATGTTTCCCCTCTTTCCCCCCTGCCCCCCCCGCGCCGCCGCAGGCAGAAGGCGGCCGCCCTGCAGAGGCAGCAGAAGGACATGAAGGAGTTGATGCTGAGTTTCGGTGCCAAGGTGAAGAGAGGCGATGATGCCAGGTGGCGCACCAACGGCGACGAGATCAGGCCCGCGCACAAAGCACTGAGCGACTTCCTGGACGCTGCAGAGCACCTGCTGGCCGAGGCGGCATGCATCCCAGACGGCGAACCCGACGACGAGATGATGAGGAAGACGAGCCATGCGTTGTCAGACCAGGTCGCGCTCGCGGAGAAGCACTTGGAGGGCGGCAAGGTCAGCGTGAAGCGTTGGAAGGGCGCGAAGTGATCGGCCCGCGTGGGAGGGGAATGGGAGGGGGGGGAGGAGAGTGCAAGGGTCCCGCTTATGACCACTGCCCTGATAGCAATCCTGATCGATGCTACTCTCTTCTCTCCTCTGACAATGCGTTGAAATCACTGTAGGGGATGTTGGGCTCGTCTCAAACTGGTCGTCTATGATCGGGCAGTGTCTGTGCGATGCTGATCGCACTATGGTAGGGAACAGGATCTGTTTGTTAGCGGGCAGTTCGCTGCTATGCGTCTCTTGGACGCACGCCAGAAACCCAGCGTCGCTGTGACGCTGCAAGGTCTTGAGCCAGAACGGTTTCGGTTGAACCTGTTCTGTTTATAATATATGTTGCAACTTGTCGCTGGGGAAACGGAGCGCCTACTCAGCAAGGCTTGCTGAAACCTGGAGTCTTGGGAGGCCCGATTCGCCGGGAAACGCTTGGCTAACATACACAAGGCTCCTTTGGAGCCTGAAGCATATATATATATATATATATATCACGCTAGGCCTCTAGGGGCCATCTGTCGTACGTAGGCTCTGAAGAGGCAGGCTCTGGGCTGTGAATTGCATGCCCGAAAGCTAAACATCGATGTTACGGCATCGAGACCTGCCTCTGGCAACTGAATTCACAGAAAGCACAGAGCGCGTGAGCGGCTTAATCATGCCCCGCAGGGCAGCATCTCCAGCAGGGCTCTCCTGCTCGTCGGGGTTGTCGCGGGCGTAGTCGATCAGGGCCTCCAGCATAGCATCCTCGTCATCGTCTGAGATCGGCTTGCCATGGTCGAGCTTGTCCAGGCCCTCGGTCTTGCGCTTCTGGGCACTGCGGTGAAGTGGGTCGTCCACGAGTCTCCAGCGTTGGCCGGATCTGAAGAACTCCAGCAAGACCTTGGCGGCACGATCCCTGGTCAATCCGTCGGCTAACATGGCGTCGCTGTATACCCAGCGTATCTGGAGGGCCGTCTGCTCCTTCTGCTGTCGAATGCCCAAGCACTCGATGCTCGTCCGCTTGTCACGTAGTCCGAGACCAGCTGACTCACTCTTCTCGATCGCGTCGTAGCCCGACTTACCGTCTGTGACAAGTACGCCAGGGCAGGATGAGATGGCGTCGTTCACGTCCTGCGTGTTCGCGTAGTCCACTTGACCGCACTCCAGCTCGTAGATGAACAGTCGCACGTAACTGATCTCGTCCAGGGTCTCCGTCATCATCTGGACCTCCGCGCTCGTACTGCTTCTGGCCACTCTGGGTAGCTTGCATGATCTCCAAGAGATAGGCGCAACCGTCTCTGTCGAGCCACTCAGGAAGGACAGGGGGGCCAGAACAACGATGTCTCCGCCTTGGGACTCGCCAGTGATACGGGCGGCCCATGCTGCGTCGCCCCAGCCAACCACGGCAATCTGCTCAATGGCCGGGATGAGCATGACTACGTCGGCGGTGTCATTCATGGTGCGGATAAGCTTGTTGGTCTGTTGGGTGGTTGAGACCGTGGCCGTAGGTATCTCCGCTTGAAGTAGAGAGACTTCTGCGCTGAGCCACGGGGCCGACTGCTGAGCTCGCCATCCGACTGTACCAAGTCGGCCTCGTAGGTCTGATCTCTCCTTGTCTGAAACTCCTTCTGTGGGTTTCCTCCCACGTCGTGTCTTGATGGGCTCCACGTTCAGGCTGTAGCTGTCCTGTGCGAGGCTGCAGGTAAAATCCTCGTTCTGTCGAATGCTGATGCCACACTGCACGAACGCTCGGCTCTCCCAGGGTGTCCATTCGAACGCTTGTTGAATCTCCTGACGCTTCTTGAGAAAGGCCGAGTTGTTGTGATCGCCGGCAATCATCATATCGTCGACGCGTAGGATGACCATGCCAACCATCTTGCTGCCGTCTCGGATGACACCGACGCAAGGTTCGCACTGCACGATCTCCAGCTTCAGCGTTTTGAGCGTGTCCTTGAAATGGAGCCACCACTTGCGAGGAGCATGTACAAACCCATACATAGTCTTGAGGAACTGTAGTACATCGTCATCTTTCATGCCGAATGCCTGACGAACATCTTTCGGCGGGTCGGCGTAGATCTTCCTCTTCTCCTCGTCAGTCTCGCCCTGGAGGAAGGCTGTCACTGCGTCTGCCTTCTCCAGCTTCAACTTGTGTCTTGCTGCCATGGCCAGTAGAAGTTGTCGTGCACGTCTTGAGGCAAGTGGTGACTCTGTCCGTAGGTGAAGTAGATCGGGGTCGCTGAAGCCAAGCACGACCAATCTGGCCTTGCCTCGGAGCACGTTGCCCTGCTCGTCCTTCTTCCAGGTCAGCACGAAACGGCGGCGCAGTAGGCGCGCCGCGTCGATCCCCTTGAGGCTGAGGATCCTGACAGCCTTCGTGCTGAGGACCGAGGTGCACTCCTTCTGCTGGGCCTCAAGTGGCAGCTTCTATTCCTCAGGCGTCGCCTTCTTGAAAGAAAACTCCACTCGGCCCTTTCGGGCCTGTGATGCCACGAAATTGCTAGGATGGTCCATGTAGGCCATGAGCGCGTGCTCGTTGCTGACGGGGATGTCCAGCACGGTGAGCTCGTCGTCCTCCTTCTTCTCGTCGCACTGCTGGACGCTGTAGGCGTAGTGCCCGTAGAAGTTGCCTTCCTGCAGGTAGTAGGAGAAGGCCTCCTGGGTCGCGACGTTGATCCGCTGCTTCTTAGCAGGTGGCTCGGTCGAACCAGGCGACCGCAGCCGGCGCTTGTCCTTCATGCCAGGCGCCGTCGTCTCGTCGAGGTCGTCGTCCGTGTCCACCGCAATGGGTTGCTGAGACGGACGCTCTGCTTGGTCGTCGTCGGGAGGGGCCTCCATGACGATCTCTTCTTCTGCAGGTAGCTCGGCTTCCTCTTGGTGTCCAGCTTCGTGGCCTTCCTCTTGTGGAATGCCTGGTGGTGCTTCTGGCTGTACTGGCTGTATGAGAGGGTCTTGGACCTCGGCCGCCTCGGCCCAGGGATTACCCTTCTTCCGTAGTCGCCTTGGAGGTCGCGGTCCAGGAAGAGGTCGCTCTTCCAGTCCTGGGGGTGCCTTGATGGCTCCACCACCTCCGCCGCCTCCTCCTACTGGGCCCAAACTCCGAGGATCTCCTCGTGGCACGGGTAGCTCCTCGTCTTCAGGAATGGCCCAGGGTCCGCTCGCGTTGCCCTCGAAGGTGCGAGCGCTGACAGACTCGCCGTCGTCAGCGGCCAGGTCCTCGCCAGTAGGCGGGGACTCGTTCGAAAGGTCGATCACCTCGTTCTGGTCGAGCAGCTTCTGGACGTCGCCGAGGGCCCATGTCCCCGGCTGCTCGCGACGCGAGCGTAGAGAGTCCATCGCCTCCTCGGAGGGCGTAGCAGGTCGAAGCTGTTCTGGGGCAACTCGATAGAGGCGTCCAGCCACTGTGATGTTGACCACTGTCCCAGGTAGACCAGGTCGATGTCCCGAGCTCGATGGCTCGTGGCAGAGTACTCGCCCAGGTCCGTACCAGCGGCCTCGCCCAGGCATGGAGCGAGGTTGGCCCTTCTTGATCCAGGCTCCTGGTGAGGGCCTCCTGTAGACGAAGACCAGGTCGCCCGTCTCGTACCTTTTGAAGGACCTGAAGCGCGCGGCCTCCGCCCGTTTGACTCGGTCGGAGTTCTCGGTCTGGATGTGAGCCAGCCGCGCCAGGCGTCGAACTTGGGCGCCCCTGCTGAAGGTGCCATCCTGCAGCTCGGCGCTGATGAGGGGCAGGTTGTTCGGTTCGTCGGACAAATTAACCGTGGTCCCCGTCGGGGTCCGTCCGGCATAGCGCTGCAGTGGGCTGAATCCATCAATCCTGATCAGGTCGTTCCTGGCAGCTGTCTGGAGTCCAATCATCTCGCTGGTAGGCACTTCAGCTGAGACCATCTCGTCGAAAGCGTCGAGGGCCTCCTTGAAAGCTTCGATCGCGCGCTCAATCTTGCCGATCTGCCAGTGGGCGTCGGCCGCGCATGGAAGACAGTAGACTCCCTGGCTCTCGATCCGCTCGCGGAACTCGTTGGAGATGGCGCTGCCAGCTGGATCGTAGCGCATGACCTTCGGGCGCCCCATCCAAGGAAACCATTTTGTCGCAAAAATCTGTCGAAGGTCGCCGGCACGAACTTGTCGCGTCGTACCCGGGATCTCCTTCTCGTCGATCAGTCGCACGTAGAGGATGTCTGAGCCGGCGTCGAGGACCGCCAGCGCCTTCACGTTCGTCTGCTTGCTGCGACGGATCCATGAGAAGGCGTCGAAGAGAACCTCGTGACCATTATGTGGCTGCTCTGCTGATGAGGCTGGTGGCCGCTTTGTCGGTGGTCTGTGCGCGTCGCAGATGTCGCACTTGAATGTCCTGGCCAGTCGTAGTACCTCTGGGCGAGCACCACGGTCGCGAGTGTATCGTAGTAGATGAGCTCGGGGTAGATGTCCAAGGTTGGTGTGCACCAGCCTGATGTAGCTCTCTATCTTCTTGATCGTCTCTTCGGTGAGGTCGTGAGTCTCCTTGCCGTCTTGAGGTGGAATCGACGGCTCATCCTCCACAAGCGTAGGCTCCGTCGGTGGCTGCTGGGTAGCTGCCATGCAGAGGCACTTCACAACCTCGTCCTCGAAGTAGTTCTGGTTCTGGCTCTTGGTCAGAACCCGGAGGATCCGGCGGCGCAGCATCTTGGGGTAGTAGCCCGAAGCCTCAGTCCTCAGGCTGCTCTCAATCTCCTCGTGGTAGTGTCCTCCACGGCATTGTAGCGGCTGTAGGGCCACCCAGATCCTCTTGTCGTTAGTGAGAAACTTCCAGCGCTTCTTCATGAGCTCGCCTGTGTCGGGAGCTCTCAGTCCACAGGCGCAGCCGTCCACGATCACCTCGTAAGGGAATATATTGTGGAGGTCCTTTCAGCAGGTCTTTTGCCACGACCGACTGTTGCGTGGCTGCTCGGCGAGGGCCGAGCCGTTCAGGTTGAGCACCTGGTGCTCTATGAGCCTCGTGTTGTTCTCGAAGATCCGCTGGCTCTTGAGGCGCTTCCTGCGAAGGTTCTCCCTCTGCCTGTCGTCGCGCTGGTTGACGTTCTGCATTATCGACCAGGACCCGCAGGGTGGGGTGCTGACAAAGAGCTCTGGGCGCATCTCGTCCAGCCGGAACTTCGCCTTGTGGTAACCCTGCGGCTTGCTGAGGTCGTTCTCGTTGAACAGACCGAGACGCTCGTAGTGGTAGCCCTTCTCGTCGCACACCTTCCCGAGGTTCGAGTCCTCGTGGGTGCACGCTTCGACCATCGTCCAGCGGCCGAAGGTCGTGAGGGCGCACATAGCTCCGAAGATGGCTGATCTCGTCATGTGAGTCGCTGCGCGGATCGCCTGGCGCTGATGACCTTTCAATGGCCGGCTCTCGTCACTGTGCCAGCGCGACCTCTCGACCTGAACCTCGCTCAGGCCCTCGCCCTGGCAGCGCATGCCTGGTGGCACCGCCCGTAGGGCTTCACCTTCGCGATCGGCTCGTTCTTCGCGATGCCTCGGCATAGCTTGCAGTCCGGGCGCTGGCGCATCTGCGCGTAGTGAGCTGGAATCGCCAGCCCTATGGTCGTAGGCGCCTTCTCCGCCTTCTTCGTCTCGGTCTCCATCCTGATCTTGATCGTCGCTGCCGCCGAGCCGCGCTGCTCGATGATGTGCGCTATGATATTGTCGACCACCTCCTCCTTCTTGCCCGACTGGGTCAATCCCCGCATCTTGCACAGGGGCCTGAGGTGGTTCCCCAGCGTGACCATGCTGAGCTGCTCGTGGATCTGCTCTGAGCTCAGCGCTGCAAACGCACTCACCTCCGCAAACTTGGTCAAGAAATCGGACTTTGCGGTCTCGATGGTGGCCCGCAGCTCTTGATTCTGCTCGCGCGCGGCCGCGGCTGTCGACTTCTGGGGACGTCGCTTTGCCTTCGAGCTCGGCGGACACTGCTCGATCTTCGCACGGTGCTCGAGGTCCGTCGGCCAGGTCGGGTACTTCTCTGGTAGCACCTGCACAGGTAGGCCGAGACTGTCCAGCTTCCAGTTCACGCGGTCGATCGTCTTGATAAAGACCTTCTGGATGACCCGCCCAAAGCGGCGGCACTGCGTCCACTGCCGGAGGAGCTTGCTGGACCACGTCTCCCAATTCGGCAGATGCTCCAGCAGGGAGATGTCCGTCATCCGCTTCTTGCTGTAATCCAGCTCCGAGCTCTCGACCGTGTAGAAGATGTTGCCCCTCGTGTCCTGGTGAGCGATCAGTCGCCCCTGCGGCAATATCCGTTGTGGCGTAGACCTCGTCGACGTCGGTGAGCGGCCCGTCGCCGATGCTCCCGAGTCCTCCAGAGGCACTCGAACGTCCACCTGCTCCCAGGGGCCGTCCATCTCCTCGTTCTCCAGCTTCACTTGCTGGCTCTCTGCTTTGCGGCATTTCGTCTCGCGGTTGAGGCCCATGCGAATATGGAAGGCAATCTGGTTGCCGAAATCGGAGCTCTGAGCTCAGATCGCTCGTCGCCCAAATGGCTCTGGAGAACGGTGGCGTTTCCGTTTGGAGCGCTGGGAACTCGGGGATCTTTGGGAAAGCCTCTGAGGGTGGCCCTGATGATGTCATAGCTGAGGCCGTAGGGGCTGATACATATGATGTCCCAGACGTTTTTATTGATGATGTCCCCGTAGGCGTAGGTAATGATGATATCCCTGTAAGCGTAAAGGATGATGGTGTCCCCGTAGGCGTAGGTAATGATGATGCCCCCGTGCTCGCAAGTGCTGCTGAGGTGCTTGAGGCCTGCAGGGCTCCATGATCTGGGGCCTCGTCGGGGACCGTATGGGGCGCAAATACAAGTGGTTTGTCAGTCTTGCTTCCGATCGGCTGCTCATTTTCACGTTTTCCCTCTGGCACCGTAGCAGTCTCGGGTGTCGAGGGCGTGGGCCACTACTCGAGGGATGCCACGAAGCCAAAATCGGCTTGCTGCACCAGTGGCAGCGCAAGGTGACCGCTCGGAAGGACGAGCAGCTCAGCTCGACGTCCGAGCTTCTTGAAGTAAACAGAATGTGCCTCGCAGTCGATCACAGCTCCCAGGCGGCTCAGAACATCCACTCCGATCAAGAGCGGGGCATCTGCGTTGAGGATGTTAATCTCGAGGTCGCCGTCCACACCAGCAATTTTGAGAGGAAAGGTAGCCTTGCCGGCGCAGGTCTTGGAGTTGCCATCGCCAAATATAAACGCACTCTTCTGGCTAACGTCCATCTTGATGTTCTGGCCCGTCTGCTCGTAAATGACGTCGCGTAGGTTCTCGGCGGCCTCTATGCCAATGATGCTGGAGGTCGCGCCAATGTCCAGGATTCCGAGACCCTTGGAGGAGCTCTGCTTCACACTCATGAGGATCCAGTCGTCGAGCTTCTCCAGCGTAGGCCAGCTCGGCAGCTTGACGTGCTCAACTCGCTCTCGCATCTCGATGGACTTCTCCACCTGAAGATACTGGGTATTGTCGAGCTGCCTCTTCCCCCGCTTCGGCTTGTTCTTTATCGCCGGCTTGGGGGACATCGCGTTCTCCAGCTCGATGCGGGTCGTCTCGTTCGTAATGAGGTTGACCTCCATCTCGGCATCCTGCTCGGCGCCGAAGAAGACGAAAGCTCCAAACCCTCGCTTTGGGCGTTCACGATCTCCTCTGCTGCCGGCCGATGAAGTGCGGTCCCGATGACCCTTCGTCTCGTGATTGCCTCCGCACTTCAGACATGGCCCCTTTCGGGGCAGCCGACCTTGGGGGCGATCTCCATCTCGTCGAGGAGATCCGTCACGTCGCTGTCCGCCCCCTCGGCCCCGTCCTTTGCTCGATGAGCCAGAGCCTCGGGATCCAGCCCGGGGCCCTTGAAACTTGCGCTGTCCTCCGCGACCTTCTCGCTTCTTGTTCTCATCCACGGGGTAGAACTTCCTTGCTGTCTTGACTCGTCGAAGGAGGTCTCGGGCTTCCTCGAAGCTGCGCTGCTGGGCGGCGAATGCGGTCTCGGCGTCCTCGATCTCCTGGGCGCTGTAGAGCGGCTCCTCGGGATCTCCCTCGTCCTCGTCGCCGTCGCCATCCTCGTGGGAGACCTCCGACTGCTCTCCATCGTAGTAGCTGTAGTCGTCGTCGTTCTCGCTGTTCTCCTCCCAGCCGGCGTGGATTCGACCTCGCTCTCGATGACGATGGTTGTCCTTGCCTGTCTCCTCGTCGCGATTCGTCATCTCATCGTCGGGCCAAGATACTCGCAGCTGCTCTCCGATGCTATCATAGTCGAAGTTGCCTTTGACTGCGCTGATCACTGCTGAACGCTCGGTCGGGGACAATCTTGATCTGTGCAGCAATAACCATCCACGCAGTTGGTCCAGAACAATCGCCTGATTAAAGTCGGTACCGAAATCTGGATGCTCGGGGATCTCCTCCAGGCCGTTGCTGACAAAACTCCAGAGCCGCAAGTTGAGGTTCTTCGCCACTTCGGCCGCATCCTCTGGGCCCTCGTGCTCGATCTGGTCAAGAAACCACTTCAGCTCACTATAGAGGGCGTTCCATAACTTTGATCTCTCGGAGAGTCTGGCCGCACGCTGCTTCTTGAAATACTCGGTGTCAAACCCTTTCACAACGTCATGGTAGGCCTCGTCGTCTCTGCTAATATAACTCGGCATCGGCTCTCCTGTGTCTCGGCGCAAGTCGAAGATCCATCTCGCTAAAGACTTGCCGGCGCCCTGGATGGGCTGAGCTCCGAGCTTCGCTCGGACATGTCGTAGTAGCTCTGCAGCTCCGTCGTCTTTCTCGATGCGGCCCCAGTCTACGTCCTTACAGCTTGTCGGGCTCAACCTCCTAGTCGTCTCCATAGACGTGGGCCGCGCGCACATCGTTCATCTCGCCTCGTCCCTCGGATGTAGGCTTTGACGTCTCTTTCGTAATCGTCCACCGTGGTGAGATCTCCATTCCACTTGGGTATGATGTCATCGTTGCCGTTCTTCTTCGTCATGGCTCACACGATGAAACTTTGGTCCGTAAATCTGTAGTCCGTGGAGCTTAGCAGCTCCATTACCATGCAATGGTCCCGCTTATGACCACTGCCCTGATAGCAATCCTGATAGATGCTACTCTCTTCTCTCTTCTGACAATACGTTGAAATCTCTGTAGGGGATGTTGGGCTCGTCTCAAACTGGTCGTCTATCATAGGGCAGTGTCTGTGCGATGCTGATCAAACTATGGTAGGGAGCAGGATCTGTTTGTTAGCAGGCAGTTCGCTGCTCTGCGTCTCTTGGGCGCACGCTAGAAATCCAGCGTCGCTGTGACGCTGCAAGGTCTTGAGCCAGAACGGTTTCGGTTGAACCTGTTCTGTTTATAATATATGTTGCAACTTGTTGCTAGGGAAACGGAGGGCCTTCTAAGCAAGGCACGCTGAAACCTGGGGTCTTGGGAGGCCCGATTCACCGGGAAATGCTTGGCTAACATGCACAAGGCCCCTTTGGCGCCTGATATATATATATATTATATATATATATATATATATATATATATATCGCGCTAGGCCTCGAGGGGGCATCTGTCGCAAGTAGGCTCTGAAGAGGCAGGCTCTGGGCCGCGAATTGCAGAGAGAGAGAGAGAGAGAGAGAGAGAGAGAGAGAGAGAGAGAGAGAGAGGAGAGAGAGAGAGAGAGGGGGGGGGGGGGGGGCGCGGGAGGGGGGGATGGGGGGGGGGGGCAAGGGAGTCCGGGAGGGGGGGGGGGGGGGGAAACGAGCGAGCCGCCACGGGCAGCGCCCCCGCCAGCACGCAAAAAGCAACTGCCTGCGACTGCGGCGGGCCGACAAAAAAGAAGCGCGGCGAAACAAGGAGGCAAGGCGCCTCGTGCACGCGCCGCCTCGCGCGACAGCGCTGTGTCTGGCGGGAGATGTCGCAGCTCATGGGAACGCGTGGAGGCGAGTTCTCCTGCTGACGAGTGGGAAGGGCAAGGAGGCGCTGCCTCCTGCGAAGCGCGCGCTCGATGTTCGAGGTTCGGAATTCGAACTTCGAGCTTCGAACTTCGAATGGAAGTTGGATCCCCCCCGCCCCTTCCTGCTACGGATGCCGCCTTCGCCCGAAGCTGTTTCGGACGCGAGGCGCCTGGCGGGCCGCGGGGCGGGCGCGCCGCCATGTTCTCGCTGCGCCAGCCGGCGGCGGGCACCAGTGCGCTGCCGCCTGCAGTGCGCTTTCGCGCCACCTTGCAGACGCACATGATGAGGAATGTTCTGTCCTCGGGCGACATGCAAAGGCTCGCCGCCGACGCCGAGGGCGGGGGGGCCGCGGGCGTCGGGGGCCTGGGAGCGGGGCGCGCCAACGCGTCCAGGACCAAAAGGGTGAAGTTTCCCAAGGGAACGTTGTGGCCGAAGGGGTACGCGGCAGAGGTCCGCGTGTGGAACGCCAAGCGTCATCGAGAAGAGACAAAGGAAGTGCTCCTCTTGCAACCGCGCGAGGTCCTCTTGGCGCTGGGTGGGTGGGGGGTGGTGTGTGTGTGTGTGTGTGTGTGTGTGTGTGTGTGTGTGTGTGTGTGTGTGTGTGTGTGTGTGTGTGTGTGTGTGTGTGTGTGTGTGTGTGTGTGTGTGTGTGTGTGTGTGTGTGTGTGTGTGTGTGTGTGTGTGTGTGTGTGGGGGGGGGGGGGGGGGGGGGGCGCGGCGGCCTGGACGTGCTGCTGCAGAAGCAGGGGCTGGATGAGGGCGACCGCGCGCACGTGCAGGGCGTGGAAGTGAAGCTGGGCAGTCCCGCGGTGGCCATCGGCCTGCGGCAGGACGGGGCCCCCACCAAGTGGGACAGATCTGCGTCGGTCGAAGCCCTCAGCATGAACTTGCCTGACCTCGACCCCGACGGACCCTACGGCAACTTGAGACATTGTTCAGCATTTTGAAGAGCCACTTGTCCACGAACACCTGGCACGACATCTTCGGCATCATACAATGGAGTTTCCTGTCTTTGTGGAGAGGCTTCTGCCCGCGAGAGCGGCGCGACAAGACGCCTTTCTCGCGCCCCTCGGATAAAGCTCAACAAGCGTGGGCCGACCGCAGGGCCCTCGAGGGCTCCCCCATGCCAGCCCGCGGTGCCCTGGTGCAGTTTCGCGCGGACAGGAAAGCGTGGACATTTGTTTCTTCCCGCCTGGAACGAGGGCTCTGGGTGCTGCTGGAAGTGCAACATTCCCCCGGGGGAGGCGACTGGCCCCGCGCAAACACGGAGGGGGGAGGAGGAGGAGGAAGAAGAGGAGGAGGGGAGGAGGACAAGTTAGGTGCGCTCGCGTCATCTCTGACGTCCTACCCCTCCCTCCCATCCCTTACCATGGCGCTGATTTTCTCTATCCGCGGACGCGTGTCGTAGCGGACCTGTGGCTCCGCGCGCGCGTGCGTAGTGGGTGGTGGTGCACGTGCGTGCGTGCGTGCGTGTGTGCGTGGTTGTGTGGTGGTGGTGGTGGTGGTGGTGGTGGTGGTGGTGGTGGTGGTTGGTGGTGGTGGTGGTGGTGGTGGTGGCTGGTGGTGGTGGTGGTGCTGGTGGTGGTGGTGGTGGTGGTGGTGTTGGTGCTGATGCTGGTGCTGGTGGTGTTGTGGTGTGGTGGTGGTGGTGTGGTGGTGGTGGTGGTGGTGGCGGTGCGGCGCGGTGGTGGCGGGCGGATGGGCGCGCGAGAAAAAGGCCCGCGCTGGGGCGAGAACGCCATCCTGAACGACGGAGACCAAACGCCGATCCGAAAATGAGGCCCACGCTGCAGCGGGAGAGCACGATTCGGGAGCAGAAATGAGGCCGGCGCCTCAACGAGAGCAGCACTTTTGGAAAAAATGACGCCGGCGCTTCAGCGAGAGTCGTTTCCCGGGAATTCCGGGGAATCCTGTGTGTAAAAAAACAGTACGCGGAGGGTGCGCGGCCATCACCCGGACGCCATCAGGGGAAGAGGGAGAGTATTTTCATATTGAGTAATTGTGGAGGAGGAGGAGGAGGAGGAAGAGGAGGAGGAGGAGGAGGAGGAGCAGGAGGAGGACTTCTTGGTTGCACCTTGCTTTGTTTCTGCGTTCCTCCCCGCTCTCCTTCGCGCGCCCCCCAGGTGACGACGCAGACGTCGGCGAGTTCTCGGTGGGCGAGGCCAACGAGCAGGCGCTCGCTGCAAGACGTGATCGCCATCGTCCTGCGCAACGGAGGCCGCGTCTCGCCTGCGATGAGTACCCCTGGCATCACGATCGACGTGTTCAAGGTCGACTGGTTGCGCGCCGTGGACCAAGGGGTCGGGGCGGACTTCGTGGGGGCATTGCTCTGGCACATCATGGAGAAGCCCCCAGGGCGCCGCCGCGCGCAACAGAGCGACGAGATGTGGAGGCTCATCCAGGCGCACTACGACGCGCAGTCGACGCCTGACCGCCTCCACGACTTCAACGAGCGCACGGTGAAGCCCAAGCAAGAGTGCCCGAAGTTCCGCGGCCAGGCGGCCACCCTGAGGCATCTGATCTCATTATGCAAGGAAGCGGCCGATACGCATTGCGTTTCTGGGTGTGCCGTGGACGACGCCGAGCTGAACACCATGCGCCACTTGCACTTATGCTACCACACGTTGAGCGGCCAGCGCATCTTCAGAAAGGATCTGATGCGCGACTCCGCCAGCAGGTACGTGACCTTGTTTGCCTCTCCTGCTGCGCTGCAGCCGAGGTATTGGCGCGTCAAGCCGAAGGCGCACCTGCTCCTCGAGATGGCCTTTTGCGGGAGGGCAGCCGTCGCTGTGCTGAACCTACAGGGGCGAGGACTTCGGAGGCAGCGTGGGCCACGTGGCGAAGAGGCGCGGCTCCCCGCTCTCAGCGACGGGCTTCTCCCGAGAGGTGATCGCGCACCACCGCATGCAGCCGATGGTGCGGCTCGCGTGACTGCCGCGCGCGCGGACAGAAAAAGTGCACGCGCCACAGCGTTGCGGAGGAGCGGCGCCTCCTGCTCCACCAGGGCGCACGCGCCCTCTTCAGGAGGTCACACCGCCTTTTTTGAATGTTATACCGTGTTGGAGCATGCGTCGACGCTGATCGTCGCTAAAATTTAGCGTCGACGCAAAGTTTTAAGGATGATAACTTTAAGGCCGACTACTAAATAAGCAGCTGCACTAAATAAACATAAATGGATCTACATGGCAGGGGGGGGCAACCCCCTCCCTTATCGTTCCCCCCCCACCCCAACCCCACACCCTCCACACCCACACCCCCGAAAAGCGCGCCTCCTTCTGCACAGGGCGCACGCGCCCTCTTCAGGAGGTCATGCCTCCTTTTTCGAATGTTACACCGTGTTGGAGCATGCGTCGACGCTGATCGTCGCTAAAATTTAGCGTCGACGCTAAATTTTAAGGATGAAAACTTCAAGACCGACTACTAAACAAGCAGCTGCATTAAATAAGCATAAATGGATTTACATGGCTGCTCGTTCGCTGATATCTTGCTTCGCCTTCTGATCATGCCTGAAGTTGACGCTACTCTGGCGCTTCTTCCTTCTCTCAAATTCGGCGTCGTCGTCAATGACGATCAGATAATGGGACTTGGGACTGAAAGGTTTTGCCTCCGGCTTGCCCCCCAGGCTGCACACGATATCATGTCGAGGTAACAACATTCGACGAGGTCTCCTCCCCATCCGCCGCCGAACAAGTTATCTCTTCTTGCGTCTAACGTTACCAGGGCAAGATCCAGTGCACACCGGGCTCCCAGGTTTCCGGGGGCGGTGAAACTATCTGCCTGCCATTTGGGCATGGATTTCCAATTGAAGAGGCCTGGTTGGCAGCTCAGACGGGTTCAGAACCACAGGATCAAGGCTGTCCAGGGTCGCGCCCGACGCCTTCTGCAACAACGTCGCGCTGGCGCCCCTGTGGCCAAGATAATCAATACACATTTGAAACCTGCTGCAACGTTTGGCATTGAAGACTTGTGCCTGAGCGCTGGCCAAATCGCAAACATCAGGTCGGTGTTTCACACGGCCCTGGGTACCGCCCGGCACCGACCCATTACAATGGGTATGTTCTTGCCTGGGGTCAAGGACCCATCACTTGACGGGCATGCCGCCGTTGTGCGCATGCGGGTGACTGCGCGCTGGAATGGCACTCTCGCGCGAGACATTCTCGACGCCGTCTTCCTGCATGCAATGCAGAATGTCGATAATTCAACTCCTTGCGATCGCTTGCGAGCGTCGCAACACTTTGCGATCGCTTGCGAGCTCATGCTCAGATTACATATGCCACACTGTTGCGATACGGGTGGACGTGCAGCAAGCTTGAGTCGGGCGTGTCCCCCGTACAGGGGGATTTTCTACGAAAAATAAGGAATACCTCAAAAAAAAAAAAAAAAAAAAAAAAAAACTCCAAAATGATAAAAGAATACTCCAACATAGTCCCCAGATGTTTTGACTATTTTTAAATTTTCCTCCTGTAGAGGGACAGGCCCGATTAAAGCGCAAGCCCCACCCTGTGGTGTACTTCCCTGTGCGTCATGGTCTCTCCGGACGCCGACTCGCCGAGGAACATTGCCAAGCTCTTGGAACGTGATGCTGTGAGGAGGGCCTGGGCTCGAGCCTCGGCTCGCCATGAAAACTTGCGCCACCTTGCCTCGACGCCGCTGTTGCCTCCTACTCCGGCTCTCCTAAAGCGTAGGTCTGATGGGTAGGGCACTGACGTACAGAATGCTTTACGGGCCGTCATGTCTGTCGCCGTGTATTTCCCACCTGTCTGTGGGTTGTGCGGTCCCTGATCGTCCAAACCTGCGCACCATTTCTTTTACGCATGTCCTGTTCTATTTGAGTGTCAGCGCACATACGGCCTCCCGGCACATTGTAGGTGCGCCATGGAGCAGTTCCCAGATCATCCCGTGTTGGCCACTGGGCTCGTCCCTGACCCTTGCTTCCTCCTCCCTTCCCCGTGCCCCCCCCTCCTATTTGGGATATCGTGCCTCCTGATGGCCAATTGTTCCCCCCTGTCGGATATGGCGACGGATCTGGCCTATGCGGGCCGAGCCCCTTGACTTTGCGAGGTGGTTGGGTCGTCGTTGGCATGTCTGGCATGCGCGTGACAGCAGTGGCGTACGGAGCTCACCCCCATCCTGCCCAGGATGTCCCAGGGTGTGAGTTGTATGCATTTCTGTACTACCTGAGACATGTCGGTCCGTCCGCCGAGGGATCTACATATGTCACAGATTGCCAGTGGGTTTATGACTCATGGCAGCTCCCTCGTGGTCACGTTCTCGATGCATGGTATATGCATTGTAACCTGTTGGAGGCAATTTACAGGGCTGCTGACATCGGGGTCGACCGCATACGCGTCCTCAAAATCATGGCGCACACATCCCCTGTCAGTGCTGGTCCCCATTGGCTTGGAAATAAACTTGCGGACGCTCGTGCGAAGAAAGGAGCGGCGATGCACGAGTTTGATGATCTCCTCCCTGACCGGCTGGCCAGGTCTGAGATCCGAATCACGTATGTATGCAAATGACTTGGATATGTGATGGTTTGGGTCTGTAAGAACATACCCAAGTCCCATTGGAAGATGGAATCTTCTCAACGTCGTTCCACTGCCCCCACTCTCTTTGACCGGCGCTGGGCTGATATGGCACCAGACCTTTTGGGACTCTGAGGCTGGGCGGTACAGGTGCTCAGCTTGCTGGAGCAGCGCCTTAGATGAATATTCCTCGCCTCCACTCCATGCCCCATTCCCCAGAGGGATTGCCATCAAATGAGGAGCCTTGGACCCTTTGTCTTCTGTAATAGATGTGGGTTTCATTCCAACCGCCACGTTTTAAAGCTGCGTGAGAGGTGCCCGTCTCACACACAATCCCCTTCCACCTTACGCAGGCTACGGTGGATGCGGGACGGTCGACACCCTCGAGAAGGGACACCCTTAGGCGATGTTGTTCCTGTGGATTGCGCGTCGCCTGTATATTCTTTCGCCCGGTGTACGTGGTGTTATCTTTGCTGACCCCTTTCTCGCCAACCTCTTCTGCGAGGCATGTAGTGGGTGGGTTCTGGTATTGAACAAGAGCGGGAGGAGAGAGACGAGGGGGAAGGGCAACTCGAATCGACTGCTCCGTGCACCGTGTCCCAGACTGCATCGGCCACTATGGCTTGAGCCAGAATGGCTTGAATCAACATATTTGTTGTGCCATCGCCTGGTGGCATCTTGCCTACTTGGCCATGTGGCCAGGGCTTTTTGGGTCACCTTCTTCCTTTCACCCTCGCTGATCTTTGCGTCCAAAGGGAGTCTGCGGATGATCCTACGACATCGGACAGCTGTCCGGGCCTGCTAAGACCAGGTGGGTAAAGCCACAGCCTTCTGTAGACATGCAGGCATGCATAGGACCTGCGAGACATGTGTAGGAACTGCGAGACAGGAGCTACGGATGATCCCAGGCGAAGTCCAAAAATATAAAATCCTCCTGCTGCTCCTCCTCCTACTCCTGCTCCTCCTCATCCTCCTCCTCCTCCTCCTCGCCCCTCTCCTCCCTCTCCTACTTCAGGCAGCGGTGGTGGAAAGTCGGCCCATCGTGCCTGGGGGCGGAGTGCTGTGCGGGGAGCGGCGGTCGGCCCATTTCCCGTGGCGGCGGCCGAGGCCGTGCCGTGGCTCTCGTCGCAGAGGCTCCGCGCGCTGGGCGTTGCGGCGGCGTCCGTGCTCGACGGAGTCGGCTCGGAGAGGTCGGCGGCCCCCGGGGCGAGCTCGCGCGGGGAGCCGGCGCGCGAGTCTGCGCTCCCGTCTGCGTCGGAGAAGGCACCGCGCAGCGTCCAGGCATCGCCCGTCACCGAGACGCCCTCCAGGCTCTGCTCAGTCCAACAGACGAGCCGCTGCTTGTTCTCGGGACTGCTCTCTCCCCGGCTGGCGGCCCGCAGCCCCTCCTGCAGTGATGCGTTCGACTTGTGGAGCACCTCTGGCTGGAGGATGGGTCTTGTCTCGGGATCCGATGCTTGGAACGCGAAGGACAGGCTGAAATGCTGCACCATAGCCTGAGGTGAAACGACAGGGGAAGGGGGACTGGCTCGAGGGGGGCTCCGACCGACCGATGAAGATGATAATGATGATTATGATGACGATAACGATGATGCTGACAATGATGATGACGATGATGATGATCCCTGCGGCTGAAGGGGTCAGGAGCTCCCAGCTCGTACTGCCCCATCGGACCGAGGCGTTTGCCTCTGGCCCTGCGCAGGCAACGCCCAATCACATGCGCCTCGGCGCACACACGCAGATTCGCCTGAGTGCCGGAAGCAATCCTCCGCCTCAGCCGAGGCAAGCGGCTGAATGATCCCAGCAGTCGAAGCGACTCAGCACGCTCGGCAGCTAGCAGCCAGCCACGGCTGCCGATCCAGCGGGCTGGTACGCAGCTTTGCTGCACACCGCGCCTGAGAAACAACTAGGCCCCTGGCGCCAGGCCACCCCGACGCGGTTGCTCCTCAGGCCTGCGGAAATCGAGCCAGAGCGTGGGCGGGCCTACGCTCTCGGGTCGCCCTCCACGCCAGAGCGACGGGCAGGGCAAGCTGGCGCGAAGAGCGCGCCAGCAGCTACATTGAGCGGGACGTACGAACACGCGGAGAAAGGCGAGCGCTCGACTACACCTCGTCATCAGCAGCGCAAACCGTCAACAGGCCCTGGCCAACAGGACCGGTTGCATTGCCGATGGGGTTGGAGCCCGGTCCCAAGCGAGGGCGGACCTTCACTCCTGGGTCAGTCTCCGTGATACGGAGGGCGCACCGCGCCGAGCAGATGGCCAGCCAGGCAAGACGCGCGTCAACACGACGCGATGGTACGCGCGATGGCACGCTAGCGCGCATGCTGAAGTAGGACCCCTGCCCGCCAAGGCCTCGAGCCCCTCCGCCCCCCTCCTCGCGAGGGCACCTGCGAAGGCGTTGCCCAAGGCCCACAAGTCGGTGCGGTCCGAATTGAATTACCCGGCTTTGGCCCACGCCACGATGGGAAGTGTCGCGTGGCCCAGGAGCGGGTCGCTGGCCAGGCGCCTGCTGAAGAGGAGGCTGAGGCTGAGGCTCTTGCCAGGTCCCCGCCCGTGGTGGACGGCGTTAACCTGCCTCCGCCACTTCGCGAGCTGCTGAGGTGGCTAGCCAACCGCGCTGGGGCCGTGCCGCGTGGCTGGCGTAAGCCCCGCGTTGGCCGCGCGAGCCGCAGCTGGAATCTCCCGAGGGCAGACCGCGCGCAGCCGCTGCAGCTGGGCGGCCGCCTTCGCGCGGCGCGTTCCCAGAACCGCAAACGCCTGGCCGTCGAGGCAGTAACACGCCCCCAAGTTCTTGACCGAGTCGGCGATGGGGAAGGCGGCACCGCCAATTTGCTTGGCCACCATCGAGGCCAGCGCGGGCAAGCTCGCGAGCAGCTCGCTCTTGGACTTCGACACCTTGCAGCCCGGAGGCCACGAACTGCGCCGCCGCCGCCTTGGTTGCCTGGGCCGCATACGCCGCGACCTGAACCATCGGGCCATGGCAGCCCACGCAGCAGTCGTCGAACATGATCGCGAGTGCGGCCCTCGGTTTGGAGCACCCGCCATAGTCTCGCGCGCTCGCCGGCGAGCACCAGCAGGCCGCACTTGAGGAGCCTCCCCGCGTGCGAGCAGTTCGCGATGAGGCCCGCGTCCAGCAGGAAGGGGTCGGAGACGCTGCCGTCGAGCATGAACCGCAGCTTGCGCGCACACAGTGCAAGGGCCATGCCGAGCAGCCCCGCGGGTAGTTAGCCATGATTCCGCGGTCCTGGATGATCGCCAGGTCGACGAGCTCGCACGCCTTCCAGAGGTCGACGAGGGCTGCAGCTGCTACCTCGCCGCGCGCCTGCAAGGCCTGCGCCCGCCGCCAGACGGCCTCCTCCGCCACGCGCCCTCGGCCGCCCCAGGATGCCCCGGCGACGCCTGGGTCGATCTGGGAGTCCCGTCGCCGAGCTTCGGGCTGGCGGGCGCGGCTCCAGAGGCGAGGGAGCCAGCCCAGCAGCCCGATAACCTCCCTGCGGCTTGGGAAACATCACCACCAGCGAATCGGTAATGACGTCGGGCCAGCCCCCGAGCCCCTCGCACTCCATGCAGAAGTCGATGACCACCGCGAGGATGTGGTCGCCGAGGTCCGCGGCCTTTCTGGGATTGAAGCGGTCGCTGCCGACGCCTATGCTGCGCCTGGAGGTCTTTGCGGGCTGGCGAACCCGATTGGCCGACGGCCTAGGCGGCGCCTCGCCATCGGCTGGCGGCCGCAGAGGGCGGAAGCGATCGCTGTCCTTTCTCGCCCTCCAGACTTCCGAGGACCACTGCGCATCCGCGCCCATCGCGCGATCTGGGCCGTGCGCTGGGGCACCGTGGAACCCGTCGCAAGGTGCCCAGCCGCGCGGGCCCCGCCGATAGGCGCGCGGGCCGCCAGCACCAGCGACCATGGAGCCCCCCTGCGAGGGCAAAGATGGGATCACGCTGCCATCCTCTGCAGATGATGCTCCCACTCCAGCCCCCCGATGGCATTGCAGCCGCGGTCGTCGCCGCGCACGGCGCTGGGCAAATGCGCGAGCTCGCAGCGCCTCCACCCGCGGCCGCCGTCAGCGCTGCAAATGAGCTGGCAGGGGGCTGGGCTGGCATCGCGCTGACCCCCCTCCACAGATGCGGCTCCCAGTCCAGCCCGTGGTTCAGCGTCGCCTGCTGCCTCGCTGTGGGTCGTCAGGTCGACCCCGTCGCTCTCGTGATGACTGATGCGCGCGAAGGCATAGTGCGTGCGTCCATCCACTCGGCTTTGTCCTGCGCTGGGCCGGCCGAATGCAGGTGGGGGGCCGCCCGCGCCCTGAGCGCTTGAGCGTGCGCCGCGCGCCCTGCGCCCCGACTTCAATTTCGCCCCACTCTCCGTCGGGTGCGGCGCGCGCCAGGGCCGCGCGCGGCACTGGGCGCCGCGGCGCTGCCAGCTGGCCGTCGCGCCTGCTGCCGTCGCCCAGACGAGGGCCCGAGTCAGGGCGGGCCCTTGCCGACGAGGGGCATGCGATGGGAGCGCAGGCAAGAGGCCTGCTGTAGTCGCCGCGCTCCTCCAGCCATCGCTTGGACTCCAGGTGGTTGCCGCCCGCCCTGTGAAGCCCCTTCTCCCAGGCGTCGCGGTCGACGAGGCCGCGCTGTCTGAGAAGGCGGGCCAGCTCGGTCCTTCCAGGGGCCCCGCGTCGCCAGGCCGAGGAGCAGACGTCGCGCGCGTTCGGGTGTCGAAGTCCCGCGCCAGGCCCGCGGCGACGCGCGTCGGCAAGCCCGGCGCGCCGAAGATGTCGGGCACAGGCTCCTCCATCCACTCGACCTCGTCCTCATAGTAGTTGGGGCCGCTTGGGTTGGGCGCCCGGCTGCGCGCGCGCCGGCCCGGGGCTCGCTTGCATCGCTTGAGCGCCCTGGCCTGCACGCGCTCTGCTTCTCGTCGCTCAGGGCCCAGCTTGAGCTGAGCCTCCGCATCTGGCCCGCTGCCGTCAGAGGCCGACCCTCCAACGAGCAACCGCACCTGGGCGAAGTAGTCGCTCAGGCGCATGCACTTATTGCCCTTGAAGCTGGCCTCGGGGCCCCTGATGGGCCGCGCGCGCGCCTGCGACCCGAAGCTGAAGCTCGGCGGACCCCTGCGGCCCCGATAAAATCAGCCTCGTCGGGGTCGATCTGGCGCGCCCGGGCGAGTTCGTCCTCGACGCCAACGCAGAGCTCCTCGTAGGCAGATCTTCGCTCTGGTCGATGCGGGCCCGCGCCGCTCTGTGCTCCAAGTGCTTCTCGAGCATGGGCCCGAGAGGCCGTGACTTGGGGAGCGGCATCGGCCCCTTGACCCTGAACGACTGGCCCAGGCCGCCGTAGCAAGCGAGGCTGAGCTTGACCGCCATGCGAGGCACGCACGGGTTCGCATACCCTATGGCCGTCATGTCCAGGCGGGCGCAGGCCGCGACACTGCCGAGCATCTCCGCGCTGACGATGAACCAATCCAGTTCTGACGGCTCCTTGGAAATGGAGCGCTGGCAAGCGCCCACTCCCGCGTCGACGACGTGGCCACCGACCTTGCAGAACCAATTGCCCGCGCGCCGGTGGAACCTGTCGGGCTCGACGTTCCAGTGCCCCGCGAAGACGCATGGCTTCCCCGTGCGCTCGAGGAGGGGCCCAGCCTCCTGCAGCGCGGCCTTGCTGATCTCGCCGACGTCGTCGTTGTCTAAGTAGACCGAGCCCAGCAGGGGGCCGCCAAGCACGACCCCGTTGACGCGGGTCACCGTCGCCCTGCCGTCGGAGACGTCACAGCTGGGCTTGCTGCCGTGCTCGCCGGGGCCACGCATGACGCGGTTCCTGCGCGCTGCGACCCCCTGTGCCGCCGCTGTCAGCGCGCTGCTGAGATGCCCCCGCGGTGCTCACGCCTGGGGCCAGCGCGGCGCCCTATCCGACCTGCCTGCGCCACTGCTCCTGCTCCACCGCGGGGTAGCCGTTGAGTTGGTGCTCCTGGAAGCAGATCGCGTCCCCCACGTGCGCCTGCGCGACCGCGAACTGCCGGGGGTCTTGCTGCTCGCCGAGAACGGTGGCGACGGGGCCCCAACCGCTGCCGTTGAGGCTCACCACCGTGAACATCGGCTTGCTACCCGCGCTTCCCCCTTCTCTTGAGCCCCGCAGAGCGTAGCCCTTGGAGAAGCCTCTGGGCACGCAGCTTGCGCTTCGCGGCTTGGGCTGCGGGGTCGGCGGCGCCGGCGCCACCGCCGTCATCGCCCCCTGCGGTCTGGCCGCCACCCACCTCTGCGACCACCTTGTCCATGCTGCCAAGGCTGTTGGTGAGGTCCTCCTCGTCGCCGCTGTCGCGTTCGGCTGCAGCTCCCGCCGATGCCACGCGGCGCGCCAGGCGTCGAAGCACTGCGACCTGCCCGCCCCGTTGCTGTGCGAATCCTGGGTTGAGCATGCGCGAGGCCTGGTCAAGCGCCGACAAGAAAGCGGCATCACGTTCGCCCTCGCCGAGCTTCGCTCCTGTGGCCCCCGGGGAGGCTGGAGCCCGAGCACCGCCCAGCGGCCCTTCGCGTTGGGTTCCTCCTCGTGCACGAAGCTGCTTGGCCAGGAAGTGGTCGATGAGGGCCTGTGGCTCCTTCTCCGTGTTCTTGCTCTGCTCGCATGTGCCCTCCAGCTCGAGCTTCTGGGCCTGGAGGTCCGAGATCTCCTGCGTGGCGGCTGAGATCTTCCTTGCCAGCGCCTCCGTGGTGCTCTGCTGGTTCTTCTGCTTGCGTTCGAACTCGCTGAGCTGCATGGACGTGGGCTTTGCCTCTGAGACCTCGTGATCAAACTGCTGCGCCTCCTGCCGCTTGGCCTCCAGGATCTGTTCTGTGCCCTTCACGTCTTGAGGTTGTTGGTTTCGCTCCGTAGCTTCCCCAGGCGCCGAACTCGTTCGTCCTTTGTTGCTTGCTGCTGCCCTCCTGCTGCTGGAGCCGAGCCTGTTTCGCCGCCTGAGCCTAGGGAGTGAGTGCTTCCTTCCAGCCTCTTGACCTTCCTGCGCAGCTGGTTGAGTTCGTGTCGTTCCTTGGCGCCCAGGTGCGACATGCCACTCCACCACGAGCTTGCACTAGATCCCTGCTCCCACCAGTCAAACCCGCAGGTGCGACAGACGTGCCGACAGCACCAGTTCTTCTTGGCTCCGCACCTGGGGGAGTCCCAGGCTTTGGGGGCGCCGCCGCCTGCACCTCCCCCGCATGGCTGAACACCGTCTCGCCGTCCCCCTCTGCCGCCACTTTTGCCGACACCACAGCGCGCGGCACCTCAATCGCCACCACCACGTCCTGCCATTGATCAAGCCCGCCGCGGCTGGGCTCCCAATCGGGCGACTGGGGCCGGGTGTCGGAAGGGCTATGGAAAATAAGAACATATGGCCGCGACGGCCTCGCTGAAAGCTGGGACGATATGGAATCTGACCCCAGAAGAAACGCGACGACTAGAGCCAGCCACATGGGACCAGACATCTGCCCTTACCGCGACATCTTGAGTCAACATGGCTACTGATGATGATGAGCATGCTGATCATGATGCTGATGCTGATGGTGACGATAATGATGATGATGATGATGATGATGATGATGATGATGATGATGATGATGATGATGATGATGATGATGATGATGATGACGATGATGATGACGATGACGATGACGATGACGATGACGATGATGATGATGATGATGATGATGATGATGATGATGATGCTGATGCTGATGATGATGATAACGATGATAATTATGCTGATGATGCTGTATATGCTGTTGATGGCAGGGGAATGGGGACTGGTTCGAGGGGAGCACCGACCATGGAGTCGGCGAGACCTCGCCGAGGGATCGGCCGAATCTGTACACGTTAGCGCGAAGCCACGCGTTCCTCCCAGGGGTGGGCCGTCGGGTCCCTTTCGGCGACGGGTGGGCCTTTGCGGGTAGAGACAGGTCGGGCAAGTCCTCCTACAGGCGGGCTCTGGAAGAGCAATGCAAACACTAGCCTAAACAGAATCGGACATAGTCAACAAGGAACACGAAGCATCGCCCCCAGATCACTTCGGGGAAACAAGCGCGAGCGAGAGACGGGCACTGGAACCAGGGAGCTCCTTCCCCAGGGCCAGCGCTTTCCTTCGGGAGAGGCTGAGTCCAGACGGAATGCACCCGTGTGCAGAGTTCAGAACATTTGACGCTAAGAACATGGACTTCATTCCGAGCATCTTCTTGGGCAGTAGCCCAGGTCCAGATCTACGAACGCTCCACGAATACACGAGGCTCCGAAGAAAACGCCAAGAGTCCAGTCCAAATTCTTGCGTCTTGAACGGAGTCTGAAGCCCATGAGAATCGATGTTTTCCTTCAGATGTCAGAATGGTGTGAATCCACACGGTGACAGAGCACTCCGCATGGACTTACTCCGTATGGACCTACCCTTCTACCAATAACTGGAGGCTGAGTCCAGACGGAGTAAGTCCGTACGGATACCGAGCTCTCCGTATGGACTTACGCCGCAATTTAACTAGCCTGTTATAAGGAGAGGCTGAGTCCAGACGGAGGGAGCCCACACGGAGACCAAGCTCTCCGTCTGCACTTACTCCGTATGGACCTGGCCTCCGCGGATTCATCCCACATCGTTCGTCATACACTCCCACGGCTCGGAAAGCACTCCCAGCTCGAGGCCCAAAGCGGGGAAACACCTGCAGGGCTGGCTCCTTTCAGGACCCGTTTGCTCCATGACGGCTCGCCGTCCCTGACCCTGACAGCCGCCGAGGTGTTTTTGTCCAGTGAAGTCCCGCCCGCTCTTGTGGGTAGTTGTCGCCCTGCATCCATTACTAGGGGGCAAATAAACCTACCTCGCTTTTGACCACCCTCGCTTCCAAGAGATACCAAGCGATGCCAAACTACGGCCTGTACTGGTCAGGCCGCTTGTCGAGGAGGCGCATGGTATGCCTTGGTTTTGCCTGGAAGCGAAAGCGTGGTAGGTAATGCACGCTCTGAATTACTGATGGCCCCCTTGCCCGAAAACGGGCCCCAAGAGGGTCGGAATCTTGGGGAAGAGCGCCCGGAGTGAGACCATCAGATCGTCGGAGGCCGGGGGAGTGGCCTCGTGCCCCTGGAAGTGCGCGTAGCTCAAGGCGGGCGGCTTCGCGGGGGAGCTTCCGCACACCTCCCGCCAGAGCTCGCCCGCCAAAGCGCCGTGCAGGGCGTACACGTCGGACGGGGACAGGAAGTTCACGAAGGCGAAGCCTGGAAGACCGAGCTCACCCTTCACCTTGTTGCAGGGCATGTAGAAGAACGAGTAGCGGTCGCCGAGGCCGCACCTGTCCAGGAGCAGCAGCAGACCCTTCCTCGAGAGCCCCTTGCCCTTCTCGGCGGCGTACAGGTTCTTGACCATGACGGTCGTGCGCTTGTCCTCACCGCGCAGTGCGGCGCCTGGATCGAGGGCCGACTCCTCCCGATGCCCCGCCACGTCGCGGGCCTGCCCTCCCTGAGGCGCTGGCAGGTGCCCTGCATCACTTTTAGGCGGGCGGCGCAGGAACGCGAATGGGAAAGCAACGCCTCCAGGCAGCGGGGTGGCGCAGTCACCGGCAGCTGCTAAAAGCGCCTGCGCAGACCTGGGCATCGCTCGGACGTCCATTGCCTGTGCTTTTTGTCGGTTTCGTGCGTGGTTTTTCCCGGAAAGGGCAAAGGCCCAGGGTTCTCTTTTAGTAGGTTAACCCCCCGGCCCCCCTGCGACTTGGGCCGGCGAAATTATTTTGCGAGCGGGCACGCACGGAGTAGGGCCGGCGAAATTATTTGTGAGGATGTCTCGAGCGAAACGCTTGTTTTTCAGAATTTGTTGAGGATGTCTCGAGCGAAGACGCTGGTTTTGCAGAGTTGGGGATGTCTCGAGCGAAACGCTTGGTTTCAGAATTTGTTGAGGATGTCTCGAGCGACACGCTGGTTTTGCAGAGCCGACCGCGACACGGAAAAGCGCCCCTCGCGCAGGAATTCCAAGGATGTCTCGCGCGTGCCGCGTCCCGCGCGCGGGTATTTGGATTTCTTGGGATTTTGACAGGATGTCTCGAGCGAAACGCTTGTTTTTCATAATTTGTTGAGGATGTCTCGAGCGAAACGCTGGTTTTGCAAAATTGGAGGATGTCTCGAGCGGTGGCCTCGTGGGGGGCCAGAATTCAAAGGATGTCTCAGGCGAAATGCTTGTTTTCACGTCCCGCTCGCAGGAATTCCGAGGATGTCTCGCGCGTGCAGCGTCCCGCGCGTAGGAATTCAAATGATTTTGACAGGATGTCTCGAGCGAAACGCTTGTCCCCAGCACGTTCCGTAGCGCGTCCCCTTGGCAGGTCCCGCGGTGCGTCCCCATGGCACGTCCCTTGGCACGTCGCTTGGCGCGTCCCTTGAGACGTTCTGCGTCGCGTCCTCCTGGCATGTTCCCCTGTCCATTAGCTCTGGGGCAGCTACTATGTGTTCAGGCAGCTCGAGCTTAAGATCCAGATCAGTTCGGTCAGGACTCGGATGCAAAGGAGGACTCGATCCACGAGGCTATAGAGCACAATCGCGCCATGGCACATCGCAATTCAGCACGGCGCAGCACAGCACTGATTTCGGCACGGTACATCAAGGTCGATGCACTCAGCATTGCAACTTGGCACGTTCCTTGGCACGTTCCGTGGGGCGTCCTTTGGCGAGTCCCCCTGGCACGTCGCGTCGCGCGTCCCCTGGCACATCCCGTGGCACATCCATTGGCACGTTCCGTAGCGCGTCCCCTTGGCACGTCCCGCGGTGCGACCCCATGGCACGTCCCCTGGCACGTCGCCTGGCGCATCCCTTGGGACGTTTCGCGGCGCGTCCTCCTGGCATGTTCCCCTGTCCATTAGCTCTGGGGCAGCTACTATGTGTTCAGGCAGCTCGAGCTTAAGATCCAGATCAGTTCGGTCAGGACTCGGATGCAAAGGAGGACTCGATCCACGAGGCTATAGAGCACAGTCGCGCCATGGCACATCGCAATTCAGCACGGCGCAGCACAGCACAGCCCTCGGCAGGGTACATCAAGATCGATACCTTCAGTATTGCATTTGCCCGTCACCTGGGGACGTGGTAGACCGCATCAAAAGATGCCCCCCCCCACAAAACGAGGATCGATTTCGAAGTCATTTCGCTCCGATTTTGAATTACGATATTCAATATCCGAGGACCGGGAATTCAGAATCTGACGATTTGGCATTTAAATGCGATCGGGTTTCGAATTTAAGTTGATCGGATTTTGAATTGCGGAGGGGTCAGGAGAGGAGAGAGGAATTACGAAACGGCGGGGGGGGGGCAGCGGGGGGGACAGGGGTCCTCCTCTTCCTCAGGCGCGCGCGAGGGCGGGGGAAGAGAGCGAGCGGGTGCCAGCGGCGCGCGCGCCCCGCCGCCCCGCCGCCCCCGGCCGCCGCTCCGCGCTCGCGCGCGGCCGCCCCCGCACCTCCGCCCCCGCCCCCGCCGCCGTCGCCGGGGGGTGGGGGCAGTTTTTGCATGGCCCTGGGGCTCGAAAGCGGGGGCCGTTTTCTGGCCCGGACCAGTTTTTGATGGTCCTGGGGCCTTGGGAGGGAGGGAGGGAGGGAGAGAGTGGGGGAGGGAGTGAGGGAGGGCGGGATGGAGAGTGGGGGAGGGAGGGAAGGAGGGAGGGGGAGAATGAGGATGACCCCTCGTAGGAACGCGGAGGGGCGTCGCGAGCGTGACGGGGCGTCGGTTTCGGTCGCAGGCGGGCCGCAGAATCCCCACTTGAGCTACGCACCCGAGGCCAGTGTAAGACTGTTCGGCCCCCGCCTCTCACTGACGAGGGCCAGCATTCTGCGCGGTGCACTTCCTTCCCCCGACTCCACCTTCCTTTTGTGGCTCGGGCGGCCCGCCCGCCCCTCGGCCGGCGCGAACCGCCGGCCCCACACCCGGGCCCATGTGGCGCTGCGGATGGACCGAGCTGTGACGACGGCCCTCAGTACGTTCGCCAATTCCGTGAATCGTGACACCACATACTACCCACGTGTTGTATTCTCGTTCACTGGCCTCTGTGAGTGTGTGTTCCACGTGCTGCAGGATATTCCCGGCAATCCCGAATCGCGTCCATCCATCCAGCGCAGACACGTGTCCGAGGCCGTTCTTGCTGAGGGCCGGTCGCCCCACGAGACGTTCAACACGCAGGACGTTCGGCGCATTGCCGAGGGCCTCCACGGGCGTCCGCTGCTGGACGCGCCTGCGTGGCGCCGCATCGACGGGGTCGTCGCCTCGGACCCGGACGTGGCGCCGCGGGGTTTCGCCCGAACAGGGGGAGGGGAATGATGAGGAGATGGAGGAGGAGGAGGAGGAGGAGGAGGAGGAGGAGTTTTTTGACGAGCGCCCTGCCAGCCACCAGCCTTATTCCCTGATGGGGATTGACTCCACCCGAATCCTTTCCTTCGGGTGCCAGCCGCGCTTGACCCTGGACCAATACTCCGCTGCCTTTGCGAGTGGGCGGGTGCACTGAGAGGCGGAGGAGGAGGAGGAGGAGGAGGAGGAGGAGGAGGAGGAGGAGGACGGGGAGGTGGGGGAGGGCGTCGGCGTCGGCGCTCCATTCCCCGCGCCCCAGGCTGGGAGACGCCCACACGTGGGCCCTGGCGGCGGCGCGCGGCGGCCCCGGCGGCTCATTGGAGCCATGGACGCCGCCGCCGCGGCCGTCGTCGCCTCGCCTGGCGCGGTGGGGGCGGCGGCCGAAGGGACATGCTCGTTCTCTCTCTCTCTCTCTCTCTCTCTCTCTCTCTCGCTCTCTCCCCCTTCTCTCCCTCTCTCGTTCTCGTTTTCGTTATCGTTCTCGTTCTCGTTCTCTATTTCGCTCTTTCTCTCTTTCTCTCTTTATCTCTTTCTCTCTTTCTCTCTTTCTCTCTTTCTTTTTCTCTCTCTCTTTCTCTCTACACTCTCTCTCTCTCTCTCACTCTCTCTCTCTCTCTCTCTCTCTCTCTCTCTCTCTCTCTTCTCTCTCTCTCTCTCTCTCTCTCTCTACTCTCTTTTGGTGGCCTCTTGGGGCCGTCGGGGGGAGGGGGGGAGGGGGGGGCTTCTACGGAGCACCCTGCCGTCTAAGACGCAACCTGCCTTTTTAGAAGCACCCCTCGAAGAAACGCCGCGCCCCCCCCCCCCCCCCCCAAGAGAGCCCCGAAGCCCTTTCCCAGGGCCTTCGGAGGGGGCCCCCAAGACGGCTCCAAAAGACCACCGAGAGGGCCCACCTCACCCCTCCTCGCCTCGCCCCTCCCAGGAGGGCCGCCGCCGCCGCGGCCCCACCCCCGGCTCCGTCGGCTCGCCCCAGGAGGACACTGCTGCAACTGATTAAGCACCTCAAACGCAAATCAAGACGCTTGAAAGCGAAAGTGAAATCGTTGCAGAGAGAATTGCAGATGACTCGTGACGCGGCCACGGTGTTCAGAAAGAGTCGGAAGCTGGATCCCACGTACAGGAAGCTCTCTGTGTCTGGAGGTTACGGGTTAGTCGTGAAGAGGAACCATGGGCACGCGAGCCAAACAGCGCTCGTCGCCCACTGCGGCGTCTCGACGTCGCGGTTCACTGTGACTGCGTGGGAGACGCTGCTCCGGGCCAACTTGCACGTTCAGGCCCGCCACCCCCCTCTCCCAGCGCAGTCAAGACGCTGACATAAGGAACAGTTTGGATTCGGAAGGGGCTCGATGGTCCTTAGGTTCCCCCAGCGCTGTTCCTCTTGCCCTCCTGGGGCACGGAGGCGCTTGCAGTGCCGAGAGAGGTCTTCGTGTTCCTTATTTAGCGTTCCTTCTTTCAGCAGCCCGACTGTGGGCCGTTGCACTTCTGGCCCTCCCCCCCGCGTCTTCTGGGTCCGCGGGCCCGCCCCCCCCCCCCGCCCACCCCGCCCCGCCCACCCCTCCCGCCCCCCCCTCCCCCACCCCCTCGGAGGGCACCAACTACACACCACCACCGATCCTGGCCCAGGATCGCCCTGGGCCCAGGATCGGTGTATATGATACAGTGTATATGCCTTCTTGCGCAAGGCAGGAGGGCGTATACACCGATCCTGGGCCCAGGGTGATCCTGGCCAGGATCGGTGTTGGTGTATAGTTGGTGCCTTCCTACCCCCGTCAGGCGAAGCAGTGGTACGCCGTGCAGTGCGCCGACGCGGCCGCCACGTACGCGGAGCTCCGTTCAGCCGCCCGCCCAGCTGGCCAGATGGCGTTGTCCTTGGAGATACATTCGATACGCTGCGATGCGACGAACAGTTCAGTCGTGCACGCAGCCAAAGCTCACATGTGCGAAGTCATCTCGCACTTTCGCCACCGCGTCTTCAACGCGGAGACTCGCACCGACGTCGTGAGGATGACAACGTATGCTCATGTGTTGAAGGTCCCGGACTCCTGCGGCGCCAGGGAGGCGCGATGCATGATTCTCAAGCAGTTGGCCAGCTCAGGCGCCCGGACGTGGTTGGAGCAGGTTGACGCCTCGGACTTCGAGCTCAGAGCGGACGACGGGGCGCTGGCGTTTGCCCGCGTCGTGGTGTATCTGTTCACTACAGACCAGGGGCCCGACCAAAAAGGAGCTGACGCCCTCATCGCGGCCGACATCGACCCCTGCGGGAACCACGTGATAAA